TCTTGGTCAGAGCTGGATATTTATTGGACCATGATTTACCAGCGGACAGTGTTATCCCATGTTCAAAAACAAATACCAGCTCCTACCTTTTATTTTTAGCCTGTATATGCTTGGACACAACAGGTTCTCCTGTGCTTTCTTCAGTTCTCATACTGAGGAATGATGGGTCCTTTAGATTCTTGTCCCTGGGTGGCAAGGAGACCAGGAAGGGGGAGTGGGTAGGAAGGGGGCAATTTCCTTCTCTGCAACAGCTTTCATATCTGATATGCCACCAACTCATACTTTTTAAACTTTTATCTTCAGGAGTCAACACCCTGACATCCCTAAATACTCTGGAAAGACTTTTTGTTGAACCAGCAAAATCAAATCAGGAAATAGTGAATCCTTCTGTTGCTTCTGTACTCTCATACCTATGTCTTCCTAGCCTTCTCTCTATCTAAGGCCAAAGGCTTTGTAACCCTGTATTCTCAAGACTTGAATGTGAGGCTCTGGCAGGAGTGGTATTCAGACTGTGAATATGATGACCTTTAAGTACCAGGCCCCCCAATTCAATTTATCCAAGATACTAAATACACAAAAGAACCTCACACTCAGTTTCAGATGACCTTGCTGAAATTAACAATCTCACGAGTGGACATTTTTTTTTTTTTAAATTTTAGTTCCTCAGAGGACAGGAAAGAAGCAAAGAGATACTAGTAAGATACAGAAATCTATCTTGAACAACGAGGCTGGTATCCTTGGATTTTATAGCCTTTCTTTCTTCTTCAGTTCATAGAATATTTTTCTCCCCAGTTGGTGTAGTTCATGTTTTTCCAGGCATCACACACACACACACACACACATACACACACACACACAGTCTTCCTGAGTTACAGAAATAGTACAGGGACTCCCAACTATAACGGGGAAATGTGGAAGTTGTGCCAATGTCATGTTGTTTTCTGTTAGGGTAAGAATCCTTTGTCCTATAAGCTCGGAGGTGACAACAGTGGCCTGAATTGATATGTATTAATGCTGGTGTTCCATGTCTTTCAGCAGTCCCTGTGTTTAAGCATTAAATAGGTAGGTGGTTTTTTCCTAATGCTAGATAATTGCCCATGGCTTTCCTACAAGGAAATAGTTTGGAAATATTTTTAGCTCATTTTCTGGATCATCCAATGTTAAAAATCATAATTCAGCAATATCCAACAATCTCACTAAATGCTCAGATCTTTTTAGATCAGAGACTTCTGCTTGAGATCTGTACATACCTAGATTAAACCCCTTTTAGCCCAGTACATATGTGACACATCGTTTATTTATCCCAGAACTTCTCCTAGGAACCTAAGTAAGAGCAAGGTAGGATAAGACAAAGCTGGAGTTAGTATTTCCTCCAGAGGCTTACTAAATATGCTAAAATCTCTTTCCCTATCAAAGCCTCCCTCCCATTTTCACCCCAATTTGAGAGAGGGGAGTGAGAATATGGAGAGATGTAAAGATGACAATTTTCTTTAACCATGTGTTAACATATTTAAGTACCAGCTGAAAGGCCGATATGTAAGAAATATAAAGACCCAGTCTCTGCCTCAAAGACCTACCACTATTCTGGCAGAGGGAGAAAACAATGCTAACAAGTAAAGATACAATGTTTTTTAGGCTGCTATGACAGAAGATTTGACAAAGGACAGTGGGGGCACAAGAAGAAGGAGGCAAATCTACCTGGATATGGATGGAGCACGTCAAGAAAGGCTCCATATTGAAATCTTGAAAAAGGACCTGAGTCTTGAAAAAAATGAATGGAAGCAGGTGCAAGTGGAAAAGGGGACTACAGACAGGAGGAGGTATGGAAAGAGAGAGCGAGTATCACAGAAACCAAGAAAATGTCCAAGTCTCCAGGGAGGGGTTGAGTTATGAAGGACAAGAGTAATCACCGGATTTGGGAAATGAGAAGTTATCCCTGACCTTTGCTAGAGCCATTTTGATGGAGAAGCAGGACAGAAATCTGGCTGCTGTGAATTAAAGTGGGTGCAAGGCATAAAGACAAAAGATTAAGAATGAATAGAAGACAAAAAAAAGAGATGGCAACAGTTTAGATCTGTTTCCTGGAGCCATGTGCCTTTTCACCCATGAGCTCAGCCACAGGAAAGGTTAGAGAGATACAGCTTCACATCTGTATGAGAACATGACTCCCGAACACAATCCACTAACTTAAAAACAAGTTTTGGGACACAATCTATTCTTTATGAGACGGCCTATATTATTTTAAGAATGATACAAAGTCAACATTTCTACAGATTTACTCTGCCATCACTAATTTTTCTCTCATAGAGTTCAAAATAAATAACACCTGTAATTGGTTATAATAGAAAAGGTGCTTTATTTTACATTATCATTGGTACATAATACATGAAACTGCCTAAAATCAGTCTTGGAAAACTTAACTGTCAGTTATACCTTAAGCAGTCAAAGACCAAGTCTATTTTGCAACCTATTTCATTCATGGTCAGATTACTACAATAACTTTAAATACTATCTCTTTATAGCCAATGTTACAAATGATTTTTATGCTACAAGTGCTGCAATTTTTTAAAAATAAAAATACCTTCAGTTATAGTAGACCATATCTCTAACCAGAACAAATCTTTGCTAGGCTACAAGTCTTTGAAATAATGGATCAACAGTTTTACCTTCTTATAGATGATGGTATTTATGTAATTGGATTATAGGGCAAGGGGGCCTCATACATGCAATCAGATTCTTTCCGTTTTTGTTTTAATGTGGATAAAAGTGAGTTTATAATACCCTATTTCTAGTTAAATTACCAAAACAGTTTACTAAACTAAAATGAAGCCAATACAATATTTTAGAAAATATAATTCTAAGAGCATGCAACATCAAAATCTTTTTACTACATATGTGAAACAAAGTTGTAGAGCCCAGGAAGATGACTGTGGCACAAAGGCTTGAACATCTGAATTGCCTATCCAGCAGGGAGGAGTAAAGAAAGTCATTTAACTCAGCATAAATCCTCTTATGAAAGATATCTGCATGATCTAGCCCACTGCTACTCAGGGATCTTCACTCAGAAAATGTGCAAATCATAGGAAGCTAAACGCACTTCTCTTGTTATTTACCCTAGTCCATTCTATTCATGAACACGCAGCTTGAAGATCTGTTATTAACTATTAATGTCAAGCCACAGGGATTTCTCAATGGCATTTTTCAGTCACCCATAAACATGACCGTTGCTTAATGTACAAATGCCAAAAAATGATAACAAAATCTGGGCTTATTCTTAAAGTAAAAACATTTGTCATTTTCACAAATCCCTTGGTACAGAAAGACGGCCTTTCTCTCTAAAAATAAGATGTACGTTAGAACCACAGGTTCACAGCACAGTTGAGGCAATGTAAAGCAAAGTAAACTAAACAAATACTAAATAGGTACAAATGTGCACACTCAAACAAATATTCTATTCTTTGCTTAAAGTCAACTTAGTCCTGTCATTAAGAGAAGTGCTTCGAGATGCAAATTGTTAATTAATGCAGAGAATAAGGAGGTAAAAGCGAGACCTTTTTCTAATAAAGCAAACAGATCATTAAAATAATTGGACTTGAAACATATACTCTAACTTTCCACTCTTACTCTTTTTATACTAAACACACACATATACACAACAAACCCTAGCATTTAATATGTGCAAAATTGCTTACCATTTATTTTAACTTTGGTTAAGTATTTGTTTAGCCTATATCAGACATATTATGGAAGCTATACAAATGATTACAAACATAATAATGAGGTAAGTTAAAATTCTACTAGTGCAAAAAGCAAGCATATGCTAAAAGCAAAGCATATGAATTTAACAAATGCAGAATGAAGCTCTCACCAAGGGAGGTGCTGACATAACAAACCAGAGAGGCTCCTTGTAAACATTGTTTGTAAAATACACATTTAAAGATTAAGGATTCATACAGCCACAAAAAAGGTATTCTAACAACACCAGAGTAGTGCATTTATTTTACCTTTAGAGTTTGGAAATCACTCATTACGTGTCTAACAGTTTGCATATTTTCTTCAAGAGAAACTTAATTAGTGAGACACATTAATTACAAATACTGTAGTATAAAAATCCCAGTTCTTTACAAAAATTATATATTAAAATATTCTATACACTTTAAATTAGTAACTGGAACATACATATATATCAATTCTGCACAATTAAATCCATCTTGGCTGGGAGTATTCTACGTGAAGCTCGAGGACACAGCTACTCAGTCAACCTACACTGGCATAAGGTTACACGGTATAAAAAAGATAGGCCTGGGCCCGTGCGATTATTGCAGCTTGTAGTGTGAACGACCTTTTCTGCACTTATTGCTCTGTATTTCCATTCCAGATCTGAACAGGCAGTGGAACCGTGACATTCCGAAAAGGTTCAAAACAAGCTACCTGTGGCAGAGGATCCATCATGCCTATCTGCATCTTTAAGGTTGCAATGGGACCTGAGTGAGCTGTCTAATGCTTATATTTCAGTTGTAAAAAAGTTTATACAATTTTGAGGTAAAAACAATGCAAAAATAAAACATTTAGAGCATTTACAAAAATCTTACAAATGTTTAAAACACTATTTCAAAACTTGTGTTCTGTTAAGGTGCTTCTTTCTTTCTGCAATAAGGAGGACATATATACTTCAATTTTGAATTTTAAATTATGAAGGTTTTATTAATTTCAGCAAAAGCAAAGTTAGAGCCATTAAGACAGATGTTAAAATGTTCACAGATATACTTTGCTTCTGATGAAAATACAGAATTTTAGTGCTGAAAGAAACCTTAAATGTAAATTTTTAAAATTCTGTCTTCTATTAATGAGGAAACCGAGGACCGGGTAAGTTAAGCGCTTTGGCCAAAAATATATTCCAATATATCAGGTATGAATCAAGAAAACCCATTATTCTTTCTGTATTTTGCCATGATTCTTAGAAAATAATAAAAATTCAAAATCAGAGTTTCTGAACTCACCTCTTTCTTTCTTTTGTAATTTCTTAAGCTCTGTGCTAACTGTAGACAAACAAAAGAAATGAATCAAATAGCGGCTACTAAAATTAGTATCACAAATATTGTCCAGTAGAAGACAGTTGTTAAGAGGACCGCTGCTCATCTAGAATAATAAAGTTAGAGGGAGTACTCAAAGACGGGTCCTTGACAATGGAGAGAACATCTACTATGTAGGACAGCGCAGTGCACAACAGCCAGTTACTAGAATCATCTCAGTAACTCTAGGATGACTGAGTTACATGGCCTTTAGAAAAGATACTGGGGTAATAAAGCCTTCTAGCTTTTATCTTAATTTACTATTTTCCTTTATAAAAAAGCAGTTATATAACTGTAAGGACGAATCCATATACTAATTTTCAGAGAGTCTTTGCTTCTTTTCTATTTTTATTTGGATCTAAAATTGAGCAAATACATTTTAAGAACAACTTACAAACTCAAACTCATAAGTGCTAGAAATACAGTCGGAGAATACTCTTTTAAATGACAAATCTTCAAAACCAGCTACTAATAAATAATCTTCACAATAGCTTCAGTAAAAAAAAAAAATTCAATTTAAAGGTGCTTTTTTATTGTTACCTTGAAGCCATCGAACTTGCGTAGCTGGTCCATATCCCTTTTCATTCTTTGCTGATATCCTGAACACAATGGCAGGCCTGGATGTATAATCGATATGTGCATTTGCAAGTTGCCCGGCAGTTACTATACATGATGTCTTAAGACCACAATAAATCCTCATAAACACAAGCTGACTTGGATTATCTTGTATTTGTGCTGTGCGGATAGCCAAGTAGGCTGAGTATTCCAAAATATTTCCAGAAGGGGAAGTTGGAGGTTCCCAGGAGAGATGGATACCCTCAACATTCTTGAAGAGAGGAGGAAAAAAAAAAAAAAACAACACGTAAAGGTTCTGAAGTTTTCTCTAATATCACTTACAATGTTGAGTCTATCTTTAGAATACAAAATACTGCTTTCCGCTAAAGTAACTGCATTAGATACTAGAACTTTTATTATTGATTTTTAAAAACCTAATTGGATCTACAATGTTTAATTCATGCCCACTTTTCAATATCATAACTAGGCTTAAATGTCTGCCTGTACCATCCTAAGAAAGGGATTTTTCTTACCTGAAAGCAGATCTTTTCTTCTCTAAAGAGGGGCAGGACCTTAGGATAAAATATAATTCAATTTCATGTGTTCTATTAAAATTCTCCAGCACAAACTTTTTGGTTCCATACAATAAGAACAAAGTTAATATTAAGAAGAATACCAGATTTCCCTGACTTTCTATATTTTGGATGCTGTAATTTTGCTTGAAATTTGGTCCTTAAAATTATGAGTGATTAGCAAACATTTTTTAAACTTATAATGCACCCCTTTTATTTAAGACCTAATTTTTTTTTTATTGAAGTACTACTGACACACACATTACATTAGTTTCAGGTGTACATCAATCCACCCTTTTAGATACCTCTCATTTCATCAGTTACTAACATGAATCTCTAAACTGACAGTTTTACTTCATGTACAAAATTTCAATAATTAAATCACCAAGCCTTGACCTGACATCTCACCTTGGAAATTCTGACTGCAGAAGGAGCTCCAGGAAAACCGGGAATACAAGTTTTAAATTCACTGATTTTGCTGAAAGGGCCTATTCCACAACCATTGATGGCAGCAACCCTGAATCTATATCCCGTGCCTGGAACAAGATCTTGTTTCTTAAGTAAACTGTAGTCAGGTGCGTCTGCATTTCCTATCTAAAATGTAATACATGCAAAAGTCAAAAGGTGCAATTCATCATTTTGTCATTCAACAAGAAAACTTTTAAAGAATGAATTATGTTTTAAGGTTCTAGTTCACATTTATTTCCCTTTTTTACACATGGAATAAACCTTCCAATACAAAAGCAACTAAGCCCATAAATTGGTGATTCTTATCCAGAGGAAAAATGCCCTTTCCAGTTAAAAACCACTGATTATAAAAAGAAATTGAAGTGTGTTCTGCACATAAAGAATATGAAGGTAGAAAAAATTGAAGACCACTATAAACAAAGTAACAACTATCTTTATAAACTTAGAGTAGAAATTTCAGAAGAACTACTCTCAAATAGTCTAACCAGGAAAATACCCTTTGGATATAGGCAAGCAAGCTTGACAGAAGTGACTAGCATGTAGTATAGAGCATTTTAAAAACTAATATTCAGCAGATGCTGAATAAATGTTAAATAACTGGATTGCATATTCTGGGTAGAAGTTCATAACATTCACAACTTTCAAACAGTTTTTCCATGTTCTCCCTAACTCTCACTGCACCACTGTGAGGCAGGTAGTGCTAATGGTATCATTCCCAATTTTAAGGGAGCAATATCATTTTTGTTTTATAGATGAGAAAAAGGGAGTCTCAGAGAGGTTAAACAAGTGCCTTGTCCAAGGTCACACTGTTGAGTCCTGGAACTAATGATTCAAACCCAAGCTTACTGGTTCTAAATTTTATGCTATTTTTCTTTTGGGAAAAACAGGTAGCTACTAGGCCCTTAGATATTGTTATTCCCTTATATATGAAATCAAACTACCGCCAGAAATTTCATTAGGTATAATACTAACAAATTATTAACCAGGATTTCTGTTTTTGTCAATTGGAAGAATTCTATGAAAAAGAAAGATATCAGAAGTAGTATTAGAGAAACTAAAATGTAATGATAAATGATAAATTATCCATTTATGTAGGTCTAGGCAATTCACTCTCTGAAATTCACCATTCCAGAAAAAAATCAGTTCAATGTGCTTTGGAGCTGTTATTTATTTCGTAATTCTTAGGGTTAATGTCTCACTTATATATATGAGTTCTTCTTTAAAGGAGTTTCAGAATCAAGAGAAAATTAGATTGTATTCAATAACCAACAGGAGCTCTTAAATTTTTTAAGTTGTGAAATCAGGAATTTAAAAAATTCTCAGTAAAGGGGCGCCTGGCTGGCTCAGTTGGTTAAGCGTCAGACTCTTGATTTTGGCTCAGGTCATGATCTCAGGGTCTTGAGACAGAGGCTCCACTCTCAGTGTGGAGTCTGCTTCTCTCCCTCTGCCCCTCCCCTGACTTGCGCACTCAAACGCTAAATAAATAAATAAACCTTAAAAAAAAAAAAGTTCTCAGTAAGAAAAAATGTTCCATTCTCAAAACACACCAGGTAACAAAATTAGAGATATTTCAAAAAATCCTTCTCTGTACTGGCCAGACCATATTATTTATGACTCAAAATCCAGCCCAGTGATTGTATAAGTTTTTTTAAGTGACCTGCTTGTGATATATTCCATAAAAAGTGCCTTAAAAAAGAACACAAGATAATTAGGCATATAGATAGGAATCTCAATTATAGATTGTGAACAGATCCCAGTTTCATGCATTCAAGTGACTTGAATCAGGGTTATTAAAAAATATCTCATTCATGAAACTTATAACTCAAAGGGTAGGAAATATAGATCAACAGCTACCTTTGAGATGCTTTGCTTTCCTTTTGGCAGCAAATAAAACTGGCTCACCAAAGCTGTATTATTTTTAAAAATTCCTACATCACACCACTGTCGTTCCCCTGCTTTCATTGTGGCCACTGGATTTGAAGGAGTCTCTTTCTAATTTCAGAGAAAGAAAAATTTATCAGGACTCTTATTGTGCATATAAGAAACTTCAAGATTTAATAAATCCATGCAGTGATCTACAAGTAGGTATATGGGTAAACACCACAACATTAAAAGCTCGTAAGTAAATAAACTCTTAACAGATTAGGTCAACTGACAGTGAAACAGGGATGCCAATTCAAACACAGGGAGTGACAGGCATTCTCCAAGTCAGTGGCTCTGCACTATCAACCTAGCTGCAGTTAGCATGCTTTCCAATCAGTGATATGTTAAAATGCCGGCTGTTTTACAGAACACTGTCATTTCAGAGACCCTCTCAGAAAATGTAATCCCTTTAGTGTGAAATTACACCTTGCTCCAAAGGAGCAAATAAGGAAAAATTCATTCCAAGCTGGCTTATTTCTAGACTCAAAAACAACTAGCAGAAATTCAGTGATCTTTGCACTTGAAATACCTGTGATTCTCCAAACCTAAAAGGAGAAAAAATGTTCAAAACTAAAATGCAATTTGAATATACTTTAGTATATACTAAAGAGGAGCAGATTAAACAGTTTTATATTTTTTACCTTGCTTTAAAACAAATAAACTTCCTCTACCTTAAGCTACTTTTAGTGATAAGTGAATTATACTTATCCCTGGAACTAACCTTTTTAAGCCATCTTCTTTATAAATGAGACACTGTTTCCAGAAGCTCAAAACAAATGTGCACTTCAGTTATTTATTTCTGTCTTAAATATATAACAGCAGAGGTACATGCTTACAATTCACATTATTTGTTATTTAGGCTATCACACATGACAACGTGAGCTAACCAGAAAAGTCTTTTAAGTTTTTTTTTTTTTAAAGGAATATCTTTAAGCTTGTTTTCATTTTTAAAGTTGTAAAAACTCTCTTCAACAACTTTTATAAAACAACTGGCTCCACCTGAAATAACAAATACCATTCTGGCTGATGTGTTGCAAAATAGGTTTAGGAGAAAAAAAGTTCCCTTTAATAATTCTTCCCTGAGAAGAGTCTAAGAATTCTAGGACTTAACATTCTGGAAAGGTGAAAGCTGATGAAGGTAAATATCTGATCGAAATCCATAAAATCATGATTGAAAGAAAACTAAAACTACAGACAATTCCTGAAGATTCCCAGAGGTAAATATTAGGTCAAATAAAACTCTTGCTCATAGCAATAAAGTTGAAATGACGGATAATTTTAAAATAAATTAAAAAGTATATACACACACATGCACACACATATGTTTACCCTTATATTTACCTCATTAAGACAACCGTGGTATATTTGTGAGGCAAATACTTAGCATTTTAAGTTTGGTGCCATGCAGACCGATTTTGGCCTTTCATAAAACAACCCAGTGTCAGACATTATTGGGCTACCCTAAGGTATGTCTAACCCAATCTGCAATATTCTGCTATTCTCGCAATAGCTAGCAATAGAGCCATTGAAGTTTTATATTCTGTAACATGTCCTTTTACTCTTTAAGCCATTAATGTAATTTACATATGTACATATATATGTAGACATACACACACCCATATTTCTGGTTATGAAAGCAGCACATTTCACTATACAAAAATATTGAAGGCCCACAGAAGTAAGTAAAAATTATCTGTGGCCGCATAGCCTGGAGAAAGTCATCTAGCATTAGAGTGTGGATGTGCGTGGACTCACGTGAGAGTGAGAATGTATGTATCGTGTGTGTCTTTTAATAAAATTGGGACCACAGTATATATATATTATTTTTTATGCAGCTTTTTTCACTTAACATTTTTCTATTCAAGCCTTCATTTCTCAATCTTTGGCAAAGTCATCACTAGAGGACACCCAAGAATCTTCTCATGAATTTATGCTGAAGTTGCTCAGCATCCCACCTTTAAACACATAGGATCTTCAGGTCATATACTTACAGAAAACGGCATCGCTGTAGCATGTGTTTCTACACGGCTGATCTTAGTCGCAGGCAGTGCACATGCTTCGTCAACTAAAAACCAAACAATTCATCATATAAGACTTACGTAATCACTTAGCAAACAGACACATTAAAATATAATTTATAAACATACAAAAAATAGCCAGAGGGAGAAAAACACAATAATTCGAAATATGGATGCTCTAACTTGAACTAATTCACAAAGTTCATTTCTCAAGGGTTTGATGACTTGCTAGAACTTCAGAGAATGTTTACCAAAGATGAAACACAAGTCCTATTGCAAAAGAATGAAATGAGCATTTACAAAATCAGAAATCAATCAAGCTGGGAGAATTATTACTCCATAGTCTAAAGAATGAAGTTTTTCTATGGGAAAGAAGTTTGCTGAATATATTCATGGTAGGAAAAATACATTCTGAATGTATTTCAGTGTGTGCTGATTTAAATATTTTATGGAAGGCAGCAGAGTATATTATATAATAATTTTAATTGAAATGTTTTATCTGTTTATATATGATTCAATCCAAGATGAAATGGAATTCCCATCTAAACAAATAAGTTTGATGAATTTATATACAAAAATGGTTCAAAATACAGTATGTGAAACACATTTCAAACCTTCAGATTTGGTACTGAATGTTGTTAGTGAAGTTTCATCTTTTACAACTGCCCCATTTGTACTGGATGATTCAGTTTTAATGGTCTGCTGGGTTACCATAGTTTGTGCGCTGGAAACAGAACTGGATACAGAAGTTTCAGGGATTACTGTTCTTAAGTCCAGGCAACTACTTAGAACACCTATATTTGCTGAAGTATGAGGACCTAAAATTAAAGTGAAAAGATCAATTATTAACATAATGCCTGCAATAAGTGTTCCGTATTATGGTTCTTGTCATACAATTCTTGGTATTTTCGATTTTAAAAACATAAACATGAGTAATGTATATGTCATTCATATGAATTAACCACTAGGCATATAATGTTTAGAAAAATAAAGTGCACTACACAGACAACAGATGTTCAACTTCTTAGCTCCTTCTTCCACTCTAAACACTGAATCATTGTTCTCGGACTCTCCTAAATCATAGATCAAATGCCCTGCTTCCCATTTTAGGGAAACATATAGAAGTCATCAGGCATGAATGCCATCAATTTTCTGCCTCTCCTGCCCTATACTAGAAATATATTTGTGATTATGCCCATCCTTTCTGTTTTCTCTTCCATTTCAGAGGATGAACTGACCTCTCTCCTGAGGAAGGATAATCTATCCTCCTGTGCTCTTGGCCCCATTCCTTCCCCATATTTTGGGACCCTCTTTCATCAATCATTACTCTCTCTTCAGGATTTTCAGATTCTTTTTCATTAGTAGTTTTTGGCCATCGGTCCATAAACATTATCAAGTCTCTCAAGCAAACAAACAAGCATCTTCTCTGACCCCACAAATCTCCTCCAGTTACCTCTGCCCCTCACTAATTCCCTTCAGAGCAGTCTCTACTTCCTTGACCTCCTCAAACTTGGTTTCTAGCCCACTACTCTAATGAAATGGCTCTGGCAAATGTCAGTGATTTCAAGGGATGCCTTTCGATTTCCATTTACTTGACCTTTCTGCAATGTGAACAATGCTGACCACATACTCCTTTTTGAAGCTGTTTCTTTCTATGACTTATAATTACTCATTCCACAATACCGAAGATTTACTATTTAACAGATATTGTGCTTGTTTCTACAATGTTGAAACAAAGCAGGCATGGTTAATACCTCATCAAGTTAAAATCATGTGATAGAGATAGACCTACAAACTGTGATGCCTGGAAAAAATAGGACACCAATCTCTTTGGTTCTTTTCCTGACCTTCTAGGAACCCCTTTTCAATCTCTTTAGCTGGTTTCTTCTCTTCAAATGACTCTTCAAATGCAGATGTTCCCAAGCCCTCTCTTTTCTCCATTTACATATTTTCCTATGCTTTAACTACATTCACAAATCATACCTCTCTCAAATACATATGTCCTGGGCATTGTGCCAGGTGCTAGGAATCTCACAGTAAACAAGTCAGACAAGGTCCCTGCTCTTGTAGAGCTTATATTTTAGATACCCTTAACTTCCAAATTTTACTTCCAGCCAAAAACTACTACCTAAACTCTACACCTAAGTATCCAACTGCCCATTAGAAATCTTTACCAATATGTTCTTCAAGTGCCTCAAAAACACTAAGTTCAAAGTTGAACGTACCTTTTTCCCAAGTCTGTTCTTGCTCCTGTATTTCATATCTTGATAAAGAGTATCATCATCCACTGAATTTCCAACCCCAAAAACTGGGAGTCATGGTCAACTCATTTTTATTTCTCATATCCAACCAGTTTCCAAGGCTAATAATGGATGCTAGTTTCTAAAAGTCTGAGAAATGATATATTCTCTCCTCTCCATCCCACCCACTGCGTCTCTTGCAGTTCTAAAGGAACACCCTAACGGGTCTCCCAATCATTTCCTACTATAGTTCTGATGGTGAGGCCAGAGTGTTCTTTCCAAACAACAACTAATCATGTCACTCTTCCACTTTTAAAACATAGCAGCTACTCTAACCTCCAGAGAAAAAGTCCAATCTCCTCTTGTTAACCTATCATTGGGTAGCCATTCATTCACATATTTGAATGTCTATGATCTGCCAGATACTGTCACTGTACAACCACTCTGGTTTTCCCATTTGCCTAATACTAATTTTATCCAAACTGCCCTACAACATAGGATTTAGAGTACATTAAGATTCTAAAACCTCAAAGCTTTTATTTGTTTTCAAGAATATAAACTTTACAAGACAGACATAGAAAATCACTGTAAGAAAGAAAAACAGGGGCGCCTGGGGGTGGCTCAGTCGGTTAAGCATCTGCCTTCGGCTCAGGTCATGATCCCTGGGTCCTAGGAGTGAGCCCCTCATCAGGTTCCCTGCTCACCAGGAAGCCTGCTTCTTCCTCCCCCACTGCCTGCCATTCCCCTGCTTGTGCTCTCTCTGTCAAATAAATAAACAAAACAAAACAAAAAAGACAGAAATATAAGCTGCAGCCCACGATCAGGCTTTTATAATTTTACCAAATGATTCCATCAGAAAATCAAGAAAACAAAAGTGTTTTCCTTTTCCACATGTAATGAAATGAGGAAAAATGACAGGAAATTATTTTCCTTGAATACTCTTATCTACTATGGGCTCATAAAGAAAAACGGAAATAAAAATTATATTCATCTTGTTAAGTTTGCATCATGGAAGAGGATTTAGATTTATATCAGCTGTCATGATGTTTTCAAATTAAAAATACAGTCACATATTTCTATGTCACAGACATATCAGAATGAGACTTACAGAATAATTTTAGATATTTAAATCAGGCGCAATGCTTAATGTATCTCAAACGGCATAAGAATATTCAAATGAACTCATTTTAAATATAAGGTTCACCAATTACAAGCTGTCCCATGAATGTAATCAACAGTTCTCATAAATGAATGATCTTTCTGAGGATAATCCAGTTACTTCCTATACAAATATTTACTAAGTGACTACTATTAACCAGGCATGGATTCAAGTGCTGAGGAAATAAGAGATGAACAAGAAAATTCCTGCCCCAAATAAATAATTTCAGGTAGTTCTAAGTGCTAAGAAAATACAGTAATGGAGGGTACGTGCACCCCGATGTTTATAGCAGCAATGTCCACAATAGCCAAACTATGGAAAGGGCCAAGATGTCCATCGACAAATGAATGGATAAAGAAGATGTGGTATATATATACAATGGAATATTATGCAGCCATCAAAAGGAATGAGATCTTGCCATTTGCAACGATGTGGATG